GGGATGCCTTATAGAGTTTTAAAGAATATCAACTATACAAAAAGATTGAGAGATTAAGAAAAATACAGATGAAATCATGAAAGACCCAGATAAAATTATGGAAATAATAAGGAAACAAATTGACAAAATAATTGAAAATGGGAATCATACAAAATAAGCAACTAGAAAGTCAGAAGATTAACATTAAGATGTCAGAAATAGATAACACATTGAAAGGACAAATAAATATAATTGAATCAATATAAATTGAATTATTGAGCATGGAGAAAATCTATAATCATCTGCAAGAGAAATAATCAGAAAAACAACAAAAAATCTGAAGACAGTCTAAGATTTATGTGGATGATTATTAAAAGGAATAATTTACACGTGATAGGAATTCCAAAGCAGGAAGAAATAAAGAAAAAAAATAGAGGATATTGTCTAAGAATTATTGGAAGAAAACTTAATGACCATCATTAAAGACAAGATGATAGCTATTCAAAAAATTGAACAAACTCAAAACAGTATAAACCCCTAAAGAAAAACACCAAGGCACTACAATTCAACTTTCTAAAACCAAAAGCATAGGAAGATTCCTGAGAGCAGCTCAGGAAAAACAAAGTTTCCTACAAAGAAGAACTCATCTAAGTTCTGATTTCTCAGCAGAAACCAAACAGGCAAGAAGACTGACTTAGATAAAACGTAAATCCTTCCTTCATTTATCATGTTATTTATAAGTCCAGGTGCTGGGATTTCTGTTTTCTTTACATTGAGGTGTAACTTGTACTGAAGGCTATGGGCTTTGATCTTCATTAGTAAGTATTTTAAATCCTCTTCACTTTCAGCAAGTAAGGTTTTATCACCTGCATATCACAGGTGGTTACTGAGCCTTCTTCCAAACCTGATGCTGCATTCTTCTTCATATAATCCATCTTCCTGGATTATTTATTCATCATATAGATTGACTACCAATGGTGAAATAATACAACCCTGGCACAGACCTTTTCTAATTTTAAACAATTCAGTGTTCCTTGGTCTATGTTTAGGTTCCTCATGAGTGAACCACAAGGTTGGTAATTGAAACTCACCAGCTCCTTGGAAACTGTATGCAGGGTCACTATGAGCTCACCAGCTCCTTGGAAACTGTATGCAGAGTCACTGACTCAGTGGCACTTAGTAACAACAATCTGAGGGTGTTCCACTGCTAACCATAAGGTTTCCAATGCTAAGCACAAATACATATTCTGGGATACCCTTTCTTAACAATGTTGTCCATAGTTTGTCACGATCCACACAGTCAAAAGTCTGTACAAAGTCAATAGAGCTTAGGTAAGTACCTTTGACTTCTTCCTTCCATTGGCTCTTGCTCATATGCTACTTCTTGAAATGGTTTACCATCTACTATTAATTTTTGGTACAAGAATCTGTGTTTTCCTTCCATCTTCTTTTATGCTTTTTGCATCATTCATTATTTTGCCCATGGAATCCTTCAATGTTGAAAGTGGAAGCTTGAAATTTTTCTTCAATTCTTTCAGCTTGTGGAATGCTGAGCATATTCATTTGTTTTGGTTCTTAACTGTGGGTAGTTGCACAATTTATTATACTTGACTTTGTTTTCTCAAACTGCCCTTTGCCATGCTCTGTCCAGATCTTTCACTTCCTCAATTCTTCCATTTGCTTTAGCATTTCTACAGTAGAGAGCAAAGGTTCAGAGTCTCTTCTGACATCCAGTTATCCATTTTGATCTTTTCCTTCTTTCTTGTCTCTCTTCTTTTTTTAAAAGTCAACACCATTTACTATCATTCATAAATTTCATTTAAAAAGTTAACACACGGGTTAAGGTTGTATGAGAAATAACTCCATCTTTGTACAAGTAACTCTACACCTTGACAGGGCTCTCCCACATCAGGCACAACAGCCGCACTTGTCAGATGTCTCTTTGCAGATGCAGCCCTGGCCACACTTGGCACAGCCCACAGGGTAGCAGGAGCTCCTGAAGGAGGGGCATTTGCATTCTCTGCACTTGTAGGATATAGAGCAGACACAGAAGCTACCAGTAATGCAGGAGCAGGATGCGTCCATTTCAAGCATGTTGGAGATTTGAAAGACAGGTGACAAAGAAGATGCTAGGATGGTGGGAAGTGTAGTTCTTTTTAATGACCTTTTGTTTTCTTCCTGTATAAATTTGATGTCATCCCACAACTCTTCTGGTCTTCAGTTATTAATTGCTACTTCATCGCATGTATTTTTGAGGTGATCTCTTAATTCAGGTGGGATATGTTCAAGGTCATCTTTTGGCTCTCATGGACTTGTTTTAATTTTCTTTAGCTTCAGCCTGAACTTCCATATCAGCAATTTATGGTCTGTTCTACAATCTGCACTTGGCCTTCTTTTGGTGGATATGGAGCTTTTCCAGCATCTCTTTCAACAGATATAGTCAAATTTATTTATGTATATTCTATTTGTTGAGGTCCATGTGTATGTTGTTGTTAGATTGCATTGAGTCAGTACCGACTCATAGTGACCCTATGCACAACAGAACGAAACACTGCCCAATCCCGGGCCAGCTTCACAATTGCTGCCATGCTTGAGCCCATTGATGCTGTCACTTTGCCAATCCATCTTGCTGGGGGTCTTCCTCTTTTTCTCTGACCCTCCACCTTACCAAGCATGATATCCTTCTCCAGCTACTGGTCCCTCCTGACAATATGTCCTAAGTATGAGAGACGAAGTTTGGCCATCCTGGCCTCCAAGGAGTACTCTGTCTGCACTTCTTCCAACACAGATCTGTTGGTTCTTTTGACAGCCCATGGCACTTTCAGTATTCTCCTCTAACACCATAACTCAAAAGCATCAATTCTTCTATGGTCTTTCTCATTCATTATCCAGCTTTCACATGCATATGAGGTTATTGAAAATACCATGACTTGGGTCAGGCCATGTATATTATGTTGTTTAACAAGGTATTTGCAGTGAATAAGTCATTGGTCTTGCAAAACTCTATCATGGCATCTCCAGAATTGGTTCTATCACCAAGGCCATATTTTCCAATTACGGATCCTTCCTCTTTCTTCCCAATCTTTGCATTCCAATCACATGTAATTATCAATACATCTTGATTGCATCTTTGGTCAATTTCATACTGAAGTTAGTAGAATTCTTCAATTTCATCATCACTGGCTTTCGTGATTGGTAAGTAAATTTGAATAATTGTGGCATTAGCTAGTCTGCCTTGTAGTCATATGAGTATTGTTCTATCACAAACAGCATCATACTTTAAGACAGATCTTTAAATGTTCTTTTTGATGGTAAATTGCGACACCATTGCTCTTCAATTTGTCCTTCAGCATAGTAAACCATATGTTTGTCATATTCAAAATGACCAATGCCAGTCTATTTCAGCTCACTAATGCCTAGGATATTGATGTTTATGCATTCCATTTCAATTTTTACAACTTCCAATTTTCCTAGATTCATATTTCATACATTCCATGTTCCAATTATTAATGGATGTTTTCAGCTGTTTCTCTTCATTTTGAGTTGTTCCCCATCAGCAAATGAAGGTCCTGAAGGCTTTACTCCATTTGTGTCATCACGGTCAACTCTACTTTGAGGAGGCAGCTTTTCACAAGTCTTATTCTGATTGCCTTCCAAATGAGGGACTCATCTTCTGACAGTATATCTGATGTTTTTTGGTTGATATTCATGTTTCATTATTTAATATTCTGGTATATGGAACTGTGGGATAAAGCACTAGACTGCAAAGTCAGTTTGAACCACAAGGTTGGTGATTGAAACTCACCAGCTCCTTGGAAACTGTATGCAGGGTCACTATGAGCTCACCAGCTCCTTGGAGACTGTATGCAGAGTCACCGACTCGGTGGCACTTAGTAACAACAATCTGAGGGTGTTCCACTGCTAACCATAAGGTTTTCAATGCTAAGCATAAGTAGTCTGCCTCTTTTCCTACTAGTCTGTGTTACTCTGGAAGCTCAGCTGAAACCTGTCCACTATGGACAACCTTGCAAGTATTTAAAATACTGGTGGCTTTCAGCAACACACAAGCTACCACATCAGACTAATTGACAGATGAGTGGTGGATGCTAAAAAAATAAATAAAAAAAAAATCAAAACCTAGACCAAGCCTTATGTTTAGTCCCAGCCATAGCCCAACCCTCATCCTTAACACTAACCCTAATCCTAACCATAACCTTAAAAATAAGTGAAGTCCTAGGACTCTGTAGGATAAGCATTGCTCTGCTATCCACAAGGTTGGCAGTTCAAAGCCACCAGCCATTCCTCCAAAACCTTATACAGCATTGCTATAAGTCAAAACCAGCTACATGGCTTTTGACAACAACAGGTCTAGTCAAGAACTAGCCATAATCTCAACCCTAACCTCCCTTCCTTACTTTTATCCATCCTATCTCCCCTCCAACAAAATACCAAATGTACTGGAGTGATAGAGACTGGAGGGTCCCAAGATTATTTCCCTAAAACCTACTTTTAACCTGGAACTAAAGCCACTCCAAGAGGTCATCTTTCAGCCAAATAATAGATTGGTCTATAAAATCAACAATATTACCTGTGAGGAATGTCCTCTTTGTAAGAATCAACTATAAGAGGCCAAACAGGCAATTGTCAAAAATCAAAGATGAGAATGCAAGAGGAGACAGGGAAATTGGAGAAATGGAAACAGGGAAGGCAGGGTGGACATCAGAGTGCTGGCACATTCTGGTGATAGCAACTAATGTCACAGAACAATTTGTATATGAAATGCTGAAAGGGTCAATAATTTGTTGTGTAAACTTTCACCTAAAATGTTCAAAAGAAAAGGAAAAACAAAACAAGAATACTTTAGGGAAATAAAAATAGTTGCCAGCATTTTGCCCTCAAGTAGCTTGTCATTTTTTATTTAGTTTAGAAAAACATGCTCAGTCAAATGAAAAATCAATTTTTAATAAAGAGATAAAGTAAAAACCCAAGAGCTGGTTGAAGGAGTGTCGTTAGATATCATACAACTATTACGTATATGTTATACATTGGATCCCAGTGGTCCAGTGAAACCTCACAGCAGTTCAGTTAGATCTTAAAGGACAGCACACAAATTTGCAGAAATATACGGAACATGAAAAACCTAGGTCCATTTTAAGGTCAGCTTACTTCAACTTGCCTTTAACTGACCACTTCAGGCTACTTAATATCTGGACAGAGAACAGGCAATTCCAATCCTGGCACCAATAGCCATACCCAAGATGAGCTATTGTGTGGATTCACTGACCTACTTTAGCTCTTGAGACGTCAATTCAAATTGAACAATGGCTATCTGCCAACGATTGTGATGGGTGCTTCAGGGAATAGGAAAAAAATGACTATGATGTGGTTGCTATTTATAGTCTCATGTTTTGTGAAAGATATGCATATATATAAACAATCTAAACCAAGTAGAATGTGGTGAGAGCTGAAAAGAGGGCATAAATAATGAATCCGACTTTAATTCAATCTATGAAATTTAATCCAATGTAATAATACAAAATCTCTTAAGGTAAACACTCAGGAGTGTGGTGGCTCCATAAAAGGTAACACTGAACTATGAGCACAGGCCCCCAGTTCAAGCCCACCAGTTACTACTCCACGTGGAAAAGATGAGGCTTCCTGTTCGCACAAAGATTTAAAGCCTCAAAAATGTACGGGTTGGGCCATTTGTACGGCTCCGCCTCAGAGCCCTGGAGTCAAAGCCGGTTCTGGTTCCAGTTTTGCTGCAGCCCGCAGCCTCCTCCTCTTTCAATATGACAGATGCTGCTGTGTCCTTCGCCAAGGACTTTCTTGCAGGTGGAGTGGCGGCGGCCATCTCCAAGACCGCGGTAGCACCCATCGAATAGGTCAAGCTGCTGCTGCATGCCAGCAAGCAAATCACCACAGATAAGCAGTACAAGGGCATTATCGATTGTGAGGTTCAACTCCCCAAGGATCAGGGAGTCCTGTCCTTCTGGAGTGGTAAACCTGACCAGTGCCACCAGATACTTCCCCGCCCAAGCTCTCAACTTTGCCTTCAAAGGTAAATACAAGCAGATCTTCCTGGGTGGTGTGGAGAAGAGGACCCAGATTTAACGCGACTTTACCGGGAATCTAGCATCCGGTGGTGCTGCTGGGGCGACATCCTTGTGCCTCGTGTACCTTCTTGATTTCGCCTGTACACGTCTAGCAGCTGATGTAGGGAAAACTGGTGCCGGAAGAGATTTCAAAGGCCTTGATGACTGCCTGGGTAAGATCTCCAGGTGACTGCCTGGTTAGGATATCCAAGTCTGAGATTAAGGGTCTGTACCAAGACTTTAATGTGCCTATGCAAGGCATTATCATCTACCATGCTGCCGACTTCAGTATCTATGACACTGCAAAGGGAATGCTTCCAGATCCCAAGAATACTCACATCTTTGCAGCTGGATGATCGCTCAATCCATCACAGCTGTGGCCAGGTTAACTTCCTACCCATTCAACACTGTTTGTCGTTGCATGATGATGCAGTCAGGGTGCAAAGGAACTGATATAATGCACAGCGGCACCCTTGACTGCTGGAGGAATACTGTGAATGACAAAGGAGGCAAAACCTTTTTCAAGAGCTCAGAGGCATGGGTGGAGCTTTTGTGCTTGTCTTGTATGATGAAATCAAGAAGTACACAAATTCTTTCCTAGTTTGTTTTCCCCTGTGAATAGACATGTTGCATTATAGAACATATCTTGAGTATTCTTGACAGACTGTTAGCTGTCTAGATCCATGACAACTACCTACTGTTTGAAAATGGGAAGCAATCATATTCATCTGACCAGTTTCCTGTTAGAGCCATTTCCATGATGATACTGATGATGATGATGATGGGACTCAATTATATATTTTTTTTATTTCAGTCACTCCTAGTAAAGAAAAAGTTGAAGGAATAAACAGATCTGAAACACACACACACACAACTTGTTCAGGTTCTCTATGGGTCAGAACCAACTCCAAGCACTTAGCAATAATAACAAGGTAAACACTCAGACTCTGAGGAAGATGACCATTCCTTTAGATTTGCCCTCCCTCCTCC